CATAAGTATGCGTGCAATATAAAACATACTATGCACATTTCATAAAAATAATGAATATCATCTCAAGGCTAAACAAACATGCATCATAATCAATCAATTTTTTTTATATAAACATAATCATTCTCATTCCTTTTAATCATCTAAACCTCACATTTGACCATTTGCCATTTACCTCTTTAGCCTTATTTTTCATACTTAGCGGGATTTGAGCTAAGTGAAGGGTAACTTTTATTCCTTCGTTCTAGCCTTAGGAATGCCTCAAAGACATTTCATCAAACACATGGTAGGCATTAGGTAAAGTAACTACCAATTTTATGTGTTTATGGATTGTTCATCCACCTTGTTCTTAGAACAAGGACACATTTCAAGCCTAAATATTTAGATCATTCAAGCACTCAAACAATATCATTCTCATAAAATAAACTCATAATCATCACCATATCATCATAATTCAATCATTATCACATAATCCTCAACAACATATTAATTAACCCTTCATCAACCAAACCCTAAATTAACACTAATTGCACTTCAAAATATAAATTCTTATGGTGTAGGTGAGGAATTATACTTACCCCACTTAAAATTTGACCTTCTTCTCTTTTTTTCTCCTTAGGTCCTTCATTCTTCTTTCTTCTAAGAAAATTCGACCAAAATGGATAATTCTTTTCTTTCCTTGCTTGATCTTCTAAGATGGTTTGGAGAGTAATTTAAGATGTTTCTAAACTAATTAAAGTGATTGGGAGTGGTGGTTAAAGTTTCTCCCTCTTTGATTTAGGTTTTTCTCCCTTCTTTTTCTCTCCTTTCAATTTTGTCCTCTCTCTCTCTAATCTAGAATTCTAGATTTTTCTACTGCAAATAACCCTTAACCCATTATTAAATCCCTCAATACTTTAGCACTTAACACTTTAGTCCCTAAGCCTTCAATTGTCTCGATTGGGTGCCTCAATTCCTTCCATTTTAGTCTTCAAACTTCAAATTTCCACCAATAAGCCCTTAATCTAGGCATTTTTAAATTTCAAAGTGGTCATTTAAAATTTTAATTATTTTAATTAAGGGCTTAAACTCGAAGTTCTTGTAATTACACCCCTAGGTTTTGCAATGGCACCCCTACAGACAATGCATAACCATATCAATTAAGGGTACCATTATCTAATTCAAGCTTTCCTCATTCCATAAATCCATTTCATTAATGCTTACTTGTGTTACTTTTATCCTTAATTAAATTTCAAACTTCACTCACTGATTTAATAAATACACATTTTTATTAATTTACAAAATATTCATGCAATACTTTTATATTTTCTAAAAGGGTTTTAGGTCAAAAATATTACATTATTATTTATCTCCAATTAAATCCTTAATTGAAAATTTTTTAGTCCGTATTCTCTTAATGTATTTTAATTTTGCACTAATTAATTCTCTTTCAAGTTCTTTGATTTTTATCTCTTTTCAATTACATCCTTAATTGAATGTCACTTGGTCCTTGTTTTTCACGTCATTTTCTATTGGATCCCAAATCATCTTTTTAATTTTTTTCATTCTTTTTTCTTCTTCTTTTTTCTTTCTTATTTTATTTTTTAATTAAAAATGAGGAATAATTCCTAATTGTTTTTTAAAAAAATACCTAAAGTCATGAAAAATACAAACTATGCAACATTCCAATTTTTTTTTTTTTGAATTTTGAATTTCTCTCTCCCTTTTTATTTTTTATTTTTTAATATTATGTGAAAATAAACTCGATAGATCGGAAAATAAGGTTATTACACGACCGATAGTGGCACTCGCTCGTGGATATGACACTACTAATGCAAGTGTCCGAGACCATGGATTCGAAAGTGGTGTCGGTATGTCGACATTGCGTCTAGTAGTGCCCCAGCCGGTAATGCCCCAACCGGTAGTGACCCCGATTATAGATGCCCCCGGGATGATTTTCTCGGCTCTAACAAATTTACTAGATTGGATTACGGACGAACCTTTCAAGTCATGAATATCCGATAAGCAATATGCTTTATATGTGGTAATAATTTTATATTTTTATATATTATATTAGAATTATTATTTATTTATTTATTTTATTTAACAGTTTGATTCCATCAAGTAAATGTTTCATAAAATCACACTAATTTTAAAGGAGCGAGTTGGACGTTATCGACTCCACATGGAAGTCCGTCACTATGAAGATGAAAGACTTATACTTTAATAAATTTATGGTAACATATATTAGTTACTTAGATTTCATTTAAAGTATTAATTTAACATGAAATGTACTAATATCATTTTTATTTTATAGAAGTGTTTTTATGGGATATAATCATCGATGCGCCGATTAAGGATACGTGGAAGAGTTTGGCTCGAAGATAGTACAATGACATACTAAAAAAGCTAAAGAATAGGAATGACAGATCCATATATGTTAAACAATAAGTGTGGGAAGTATGGCACCTAAATTGGGCCGGTCCTAAGTTTCGAGCTCGATCTTAATAAGTATCTCGAAACCGCATGTCAAAGACGAGATAGTGTTGGTACTAGCCTATCCGAGCATATGGAAGGGTCCATCTCTTTGATTGAGCATGCTGAATATTTGTAAATCCTATGATTCATTATGTTATAACTTAATTTTTATATTTATTACATCTAATATTATTTTATCTATTTTTTCAGCATAATAAATTAGGTTGTAACTCAAATCCTTATAGTTGTTCGTGATCACTCACAAGTAGAAAAATGAGTCATTCGTCGATAGACTATCTCAAACAATAATGATAAGTTTTTTATTTTTATAAATATATATCTATCAATATAATTTAAAGAATATATTTATGATTTAATATTATAATTATTTCAATGACACAAGAGCACGTGCGATCAATGCAAAAGCATCCGTCTGCGGAGCGAGCAAGAGGGTGATTCATCATCTCCAAACATCGATATGTCCAAGATATATTTGGATGTTGCAGGAGAGGAGGAGAAGTAGATAAGTGTAGGCCTTGGATCATAGGGGTCCTAGTATTACTCCCATTTTGGCGTCGGCTCCTCCTTTACTACTTCATGATATCCCGATGGTAACATTTAAAAGGTTTCGTCTAGTATAAAGATAATATCAAAGGGATGGAGATTACCATCCAAGAACGAGTCAATCAATTCGAGACTCTATAGAGTCATATGCAAATAGTGATGAGGTAGTTACAAGATTACAACGGACTTGTGTCCCTTTTGCTAACCCCTCCCCTCAACCCGGGAGTTAGTTGTTTCTCTCAATATACAAGCAGTCGGACGATGATCAAGGAGATGATGATGACTAAATTTCTTATTTTTTTTTTTTAGGGTTTAAATATTTTCGCACATCTTAATGCATTTACATATTTATTTGATTTCAATTTATATTATTTTAATTTTATTAAATAATATATTATATTTTAATAAGGTGTTATTTTAAATTATTTATTACTATCATTAACATTAAACGGCTATATATATATATATATTTCCTTCCTTTTGTGATGGATTAGCGACTAAATTTAATGAAAAAAATCAAACCACTTTACAACGGATACTTATACGATCGCTAAATAGCAACAAATCTATAACAAACTTTAGCGAGAACAACTTAGCGTTGAAAATTTCATTGCTATTTAGCGACAAAAATAGTGAATTAGCAATGATTTTATGACAATACAAGACCAAAAAGACGATTGTTTACTATCTTTTTGCAACAAAATTTCTACACGTTAGCAATGAATTTTTTTCATCACTAAAAAATAACAATGATGACTTTTACCACAAAAAGTGTGTTGTTACAAATCCGTCATTATTATCTCGTCATTAAAAATAAATAATGACGGATTTTTATTATATAGCGATAGAAAAATTTGTAGTTATTTTTTTATTTTCTTGCGATGAACCTTAGAATTTGAACATCTATAACATCGTTTCACCACGAAAAGACATGCTGGTTTTTTCAGTTACAAGAAATATTAGCTCTTTGTTTTATAAAGAAAATTTAAACTTTACCTTGTAGATACTTTGTCGATTATTATAGTCTATAGAATCATTCAATATATTCTCCGCCATTTTATGACATGAACTAGGTGATTTCCCACCACCACCACCGTTCGTGGGATTTGAAATCAAAATGATACAAATGATGTCATATGTCACCACATCAATGATATGACAAATTCAAAACATATGAATTTCTGTACACATATCAGATTATTGGAAGGAAAAAAACCGAAACAGAAGACTCGGTTCGTTCACGTGTAAACTTAATTACTAAAATAACAAACATTAGATGGGATTGTTTTGACTATTTGATCTTACCATTTCGTTGGCCAACAATCTCTGTAAAATACTAATTAGTAAAAAGCACTGCCGAGAAAATTAAAATAAAAAGCAATCTCAAATCAAACAGAGTCAACATAATATCCCAACAATCGCTCTCTAACCCCAGTTTCCCATTACAAATACTATTATGAAATAAAATAAATCATTTAATCAATGGGGTCCCACACTTTGTTGTTCATCCATGACTGGTCCTATTCCATACACGATACTACATGTTCCCCTTTACGACAAAACTCCATAAACCTGTTTATCTTCGTGTGATAACGATCCCCGTAATGGCATTTCCGTATTTACGTTCAAATATGCTGGTAATTTCAACTCCTAACAACCCACACTCGGCGACTAGCGAGGCCACTCCTTATTTATGGCATTCCCGTAAATTACTCACTCAGTCTTGGACAATTATCATCCTCTCCAAAACGCGCCGTCTGACATTCTAATCGACACAGCTTGATTCATTCGTTAACTAAACCGTAGTTAAATTTTGACTCAAAATTCTTAACCATGGTTAACATGTGTAGTCGTTGTATAAAACCTGAGAACCAAATAAAGAAAGCCAAAACTGAAATAACAAACTGTATACCCTTTTTCTAGAGAGAAGCAAAAAAAACAGAACAGATTCTTTTAGAGAGACATTGGAAACTAGCAATAAAATGGCTCTTTACGTTGATGAAGAAGAGATATGGAAATGTCCAAAGCACCCTTCCAAGCGTCGCCGAACCGGAATCTGCCACGTGTGCCTCCGCGAACGTCTCTCCTCTCTCTGCCCTGACTGCGCTAACGCGCGCCCCTGCGCTTGCTACCCCACCACGGCGTCCTCCTCCTCCGCCTCCTCTTCGTCCTCCTCCTCCTTCCATTGCTTATCCTCCGCAGCCGGAATCGGAAGGGTCGGCCGTGTCTCCAACTTAATGGAGAGCGAACCTGCTTTTCGTCGCTCTAGATCCGTAGCTGTCCCATTTCTCCGGTCAAAGCCATCTGCTGACCATAGTTATAACAGTCACAAAACGTCCTCGTCGTTCTGGTCATTGTTCAAGGGAGGGCATGGTAACAGGAGCATGAGAGAGGAGGTTGAACGACGACACGTGGTCATTTTGAAAGAGGAGGAGGAGGAATCGGCAAGGAAAGTAAATGAAGATCAGGAGAGGAGGAGGATGATGAGGAAGTCAAGATCGGTGGCGGTGACGTCAGATTCGAGAGGCAGTGACGTCATGAGATCATCGAAGGGAGGAAAGGGATGGTATTTCCCTAGTCCGATCAAGGTTTTTAAGCAATCAATTTCGAGGGGGATTTTGGCACATGAAAGGTCGCCTTTGTATAGAGGTTGATTTTCTTTTCTTGTATAGAAATAAACATAATTACCACTAGTTTTTAACTGCCAAACAGTAATACATATTTTGTCACCCTTTTTATTGTGTTTTTTTAAGTTCTGGAATATCAAGGTCAAGGGAAAAAAGCTACTCCTATTTTGTTTGACTGAGCTAATGACACTATGTTTTATCATTATAGATTATGTAATTTTTGCCTCATATATGGTGGAAAGAGTGATCAATATGTGATTATTGAAATTTCGTAATTTATTATTATTATTAGTTTTGTTGCTTGTTTTGGGTTTTGTGGCCATGTATTAGTTGTTGGTGGTTGAATGACTCGGGTGCAATTAGATTAGAAAGCTTGAATTACCGGCCTCATAATGGAATGCAAATGATAGTAATTTGGTCCCACTTGACATGTGGTTTTCAAGTTAAATAAAGGATCCATTTGGGAGTTACTTGTAAAGTGGTAAGACTAAAGTACGCTGCAAGAATTAAAGTGCCGAAAGGCATTATAGGAATGCTTGTTTAGGCCAGTAGAGGAGGCAGGTCGGCTAGCTAGGTTTTTGGGCAAGGATGGTATTAACCAGTCTCTGACTTTGGCTGAGTTAGTAGATTAAACAAGTACAAACACTTCTTCAGCTTTATGCCCTAAACCTAAACCTACAGCTAAAGATAATTATCACATGGTTGATGGTTTACCTGCATTGTCAAGATCATCATAAGTTTCCGATTGCTCTACTCAATTATGAAAGATTATTTGGACAAAACTTTGTTGTGAACGAAACTTGTTTCAACCAATTATCGGGTCTCATAGCGGGATAAAACTCAAATTATCGATATGAATGAACGGTTTAAACAAAATATGATTGTACATTTGCTATCAAACAATAATATTTGCTTAAATGAATTCTAAACCTTTAAGTAAATTTCAGAAACTGTTGACCATAAATAAAGAGATTACTGTACTCTCCTTTACATACAAATTCATCACATCTTTACTTATATATAAACTAATACAACTATTAGAAGTTAAATTATAAAACAGTTTCATATAAATTAATTGCATCTTTACTTATATAAAAGTTGACACAAGCGCTAGAAATTAAACTCAAAAACAGATATAACATTACATGTCTTCTTATAATAAAATCTAACTACAATTAAGTATTTTCATGTCAAACATTTCTTTTCATGTGCTAATTTAACCACACTTCTTTTTGTATATTAATTTAATTGTTGAAAGGTCCTTCAAACATTAGAAGAAGACTTGTTTTACAATTATTTTTTATTGATTTAACATATAATTAACTACATCAACCATATAATTAATTTAGATTAGAAATCATCTAACCATTAATATTAATATGAGAATAATGAACTCTTGAATTGATACTTGTGTTTTATTAAAGTATTTCTGTTATTTTAGAGATCCTTCAACACTCAGATGACATATTACATTCTTAAGAGTCAAGTGTATTGAAAAAATGATGTTTGTAGATGTCAAATTTCGTTTTAAAGAATAGGAATCCCACTCCCTTTAGAATGGCTCGATTATAATTTAGAGATGAATTCATTACCATTAACCAAGCATTCTCTTGTAAACCTAGTTAAGACGAGGTTTTGGAATTTTAGATTTAAGTCCATCCAAGTTTGTAAATTCCTCGTGCAAAAGACCACATTGTTACAGGATAAATCAATATGCATCTCCGAAGGCATGCCTCAAATTTCAACTAAGAAGTCTTAAATTCAAATTATAAAAGAGATGGGTAGGGATTGAGAATTAGGAGAAAATTGTTCTTAGCGTATACTTGAACTTCTCATTGAGTTAAAAAAAAATAATAATAATAAAAATAAATAAAATAAAAATTCAATTGAATATTGTAAAAGTAGTGAAACATTATTTTCATATTGGTAAAGGATGGCAACTAGTTGAACTCATAAATTTTGAAGTCGTCATAAAATATGGGTTCTAATTAATATTAATTCTTAGTATTTAGAGTAGTTATTTATTGAGTATTTTTTTTAATAAAAAAAATAGCAATGGTAGATTATAATAACGATTTAGCTAATTCAATGGATAAAAATCAAGAAATAAACCTATTTTAATATCTAACAAACATATCCTTTAAAGAATTTTGACAAACAATAATAATAAATAAATAAATAAAACAAAAAAACTTTGGCATAAATGTTTAATCAACGAATTCAAAAAATAAAAAGCAAAAAATATTAACCGAACATGGATCGAAGCACAGTATCCTTATACACTAAATTTACCTTATAAATACAATTACAAAGCAACCCCTGTTTATGAACAGCAAGCTCTGGCAAAAGGGTTAGTGCGCAGTTGATTTTATTTCCATCATGATTGCAATGTTCAGAAAATTGCATGTATATGATTTGTAAGCTCCACATAGAACAAAAGAAAGTATAGTTTCGTAACGACGTGGGTGGGGCAGGGCCTCAATTATTGTTTTCATAAACTTGTGGGATTGTATTTGTAGGGGATGATGAAAATGAAGTTTTTGAAAAAAGGATTGGATTTGTTTTCAGCACTTTTGTCAATCGTGATATAATTGCTTAGGTGGAAATATAAGCTCTTTAGTACAACTCTTTTGAAAGGCCCTAATTTTTCTTAACGTACGTTAAGTTCCTTCCATTTCCAATCTCAACTTAAAAAATAGCATCTCTACTTAGGGTTAGGGAGGCTATACCCTGTGCCTTAATTGAATTTTAACGATGTATTAAGACAACACATTGCTTCCTCGTGGCTCGCAAAAGATTACATTAACAAAGGGGATCCAGTCCAGCAAAGAAGACAAAAAGTTGTACCTCTCGAGCTAGCTATCTATCTGGCTACGATTGTTTAATACGAAGCTTAAAGGCTTGAGAAATGAAGGCAATGATGAGCACTTGTCTCCATATCTATATAACAGTTATAACTTATAAACAATTCATTTTATAATTTATATTTATATAACGAACCTAGATCCCCGGAATTCTGGTCAAGTTTCTAAAGTGCAAATGATGAAAAAAGTCTAATTAACCCTCATTTTCATTCATTCAAGCACACCATTAATTCCTTGAACTTTATTAAACTGGAATTTTTTTGTTTTTTTTCCATCAAATTTTGGTTTCCATAACTGGATCACCAGATCCCCCAGCATGAGCAATGACGTCAACTCCTTGCTATTCTTCTACTATATATTTAGTCATATTGAATATTGATAACACAGGTGCTGGCAAAATAATTATCTTTAGGAAGATTCTAACGGCTGTTTCTGTTAATCTTAAACTTAATTTCATGAACTTACTTCTGGCTGGTTAGAGAATCATGCAAGTGGATTTGAGCTAGGCGTGCGATTAACGGAAAAATATGTGGTATCTGAGCACGTGTATTCCATCGATAAGAATCACGTTAGCAAAACAATTTTTCAAAAGCCACAATAACGACAGACTTCGTTTAAAAAGTATCCAAGCAGATCAAGTTAGAACTTCGAAGTGACATTCCAGCTGCCATACAGTAGAGCAAGTTATTGATCCCTTTCGGCTTATGTTGTGTGGATTGGAATTTTACTTTGTAAATTTTATAATGATAGGGAGACCAACTATTACATTAGTCTTCTAAACCCCCATAAAGCACCTTTTTCTATTCAATGCGTACTTCTAAATAAAAGTACATCATTGGTCCTACTTGATTCAATTAGATCATAAATAAAGGCCACTCTTTCTTCTTTGGTGGGGGATAAAATTGGCTGGTGATTGGAGTTGCTGCTGCATTTGCTTTTCACCCACCGAAGGTAAACAGGTCCAGCTCTTACAGTGAGTGTCAACGGAAGAATTCTTTATATATATATATATAAACTCAACCTCGAAGTACAAGCTAACAAAGTACTATTTCCTACCGCTAAGAGATTTGATCTTGAATAAGAAAATTATCTTAATTTAATCAAAATTAATAATTAATCATAATTATTTTTTATTGATATTAGATATGAACTTATTTTATCTAAAAAAAATAATTTAATAATCGATTAAAATCTAAATATATTTTGTGATTGACTTAATTTATAAAATGATAGATTTAATATCGATCAATGAAAAAATTAATAAAAAAATACTTTACTTTTTATATATATTAAAAAAAATTTCTTTACCCTAGGTAATCATAAAATCAACCCAGCCTTCTGCAAAAGAAATTGCCAACACAGGCTTTCTCTTTGAAGTCAGCTATAAAATATACTCCACATAGACATTGCCAGCAATTATCTCCTCAAATGATCGCGTGATTATAATCGATCTCCAAATGGTACTTGGAGACAAAGATTTGATTCCAAAACCGCTGGCGTGATTTCAACATTACTCAAGCTACTAGCCCTTTAATCATTTCACCATCTTTATTGTACTTTAAAATCCACTGTTTTATCATTTCGAGGAGAAAAGTACATAGAGAACGCAAATATACTGCTAATGGTGTCTGCCTGGTCAACTAGCTTAACATGGGCCATTCGTCTACCAGCTCAATTATTTTGATTGTTAGCCCGGATTTTATTTCATATTGTATGCCACTAAATTTCGATTTATATATTGAAAACATGCTCTGATCTCTTTAATGATTAATTTGAAGGATGTTTACCACTAGTAATCAAACATTAATCGTGCTGAAAGATTCAATACTTTACAAACGATATTAGCCAAAACAAATTTGAAAAATAGAAAGGGAAAAAAAGGAAAAAAAATAAAAATAAAAAAGGTTCTTAATTTGGACAGAGGATGATGACCAAGTCGAAGCTGGCCAGTCGGGGCTTGAAAGGACGGGACGGGGGTGATTGGTACGGAGAGACTCTTCGGATCTGACCGGCGGGGCAAATTGGTTCATATATATCATTCAAACTCCCAAAAAATAAAAATAAAAAGGCCTTCATAATTATAATTCTAAAAAGACCAGTTTGACTTATCTATTATGATTGCACCAATCGAGAAGAAGAGTTACTTTTGAAAAAAAAAAAAAA